AATCATTGGGAGTAACTCAACAAGCCGTTTCTGTACGATTGAGATTCATGGGAATAATTCAAAAACAAGGAAATTGGATGCCTTATGAACTGAAACCGAGAGACGTTGAAAGGCGATTTTTGCGAACAGCTGATTCAAAGACAACAAAAAAAAGGTTTTTTGCATCGGATTGTGACTGGAGATAAGAAGTGGATATTCTACGACAACCCCAAGAAGAAAAAATACTACACTAAGCCCGGTCAATCGTTGCCATCGATCTCAATATGAACACCAAAGCCGAACATTCATGGTTCGAAGATCATGCTCTGTATCTGGTGGGATATCAAAAGAGTATTCTTTACTATGAGCTGCTGAAACCTGGCGATTCCATTACGGGCGATCAGTATCGGCAGCAATTGATTCGTTTGAGCCGTGCATTGCGAGAAAAATGGCCGGAATACGAGCAAAGACATGATAAAGTTATTTTTCTTCATGATAACGCTCGGCCTCATGTCGCCAAAGTCGTAAAAAAATATTTGGAAACGTTAAAATGGGCTGTTTTACCGCACCTGCCGTATTCTCCGGACATTGCTCCTTCTGATTACTGGTTGTTCCGAAGAATGCAGCACGTCACCGATTGACTTCTTTCACAGAAATCGAAAATTGGCTCCAAAATTGGATCGCCTCCAAAGACGAGTCATTTTTTCGAGATGGAATTCGAAAATTGCCTGAGAGATGGGAAAAAGTAGTATACCAATACTTTAATTAATTTGTTCATTCATTTTGTTTTGAAATAAATGCATTTTTGAACACAAAAAAACGAACCGAACTAATTTGTACTCCCAATAAAAAGTACATTTTTCAGACAGACTTTCATTTTATTAATCAGCACAATTCCTATTCTTGTAATCTAAAATTTTATAAGTATTATTTATTTCGTATATTTAACTTATAACCCCTTCATTTATAATTCATTTGTTCATATTTATGCCTTTTCTTTATATGTATTTTATTATTTATCTACACACATACACACACACACACACACACACACACATTGGAACAATTTTAAATGGTGCCCTAAGATAAATAAATAAATACAAAAAAGGAAAGATTCATCGGTATATATATTGGAGTTACACTACTTATTTATTTTTATTTTTTAATCATTAACAATTCACCTAATTGTTTAAATGAAACGTATAAAGTCTCAAACGATGCAGAAAAGCAAAATATACATGTTAAAAAAAAATAAAAAGTCCTCTAGGCTAATTTTTGTGGAAAATGCGCTTAAAAATCAATGTTGAAAGTATAATAAAAGGGAACTCAAATGTTTAACACATTTTGAGGGGTGCCGCGGAAAAAATTCGAATGTCGAAAAAAATGGACCTATTGTATAACCGATGTTGCTAAAATGTTTAAAATATTAGAAATATTCGAAAATATAATAATAAAAGTTTAATTTGACAATCGCTTTTACAATTTATTCTGTACGATTTGTTTTTTAGCAATTAAAAGATGAATTGGGCGAGGTTGTGGCAGAAATGGAGGCGATGGAGGGCGGCGGACTTACGGCCGACGAGACTAAACCGTCCAACAAAGCTAAGCAGATGTCGATCGGCCGGAAAAAGTTCAATATGGATCCTAAGAAGGGTATCGAGTACCTGATAGAGCACAATCTCTTAACACCGACGCCCGAGGACGTTGCTCAGTTTCTTTACAAGGGCGAGGGCCTTAATAAAACTGCGATCGGTGACTATCTCGGTGAACGACATGACTTCAATGAACGCGTGCTGCGAGCTTTCGTTGAGTTGCACGACTTTACCGATCTCATATTGGTACAAGCCCTACGTCAATTTCTCTGGTCGTTCCGACTGCCCGGCGAAGCACAAAAAATCGATCGCATGATGGAGTGTTTCGCTCAAAGGTACTGCCAGCTAAACCCAAATATCTTCACCAATACGGATACTTGCTACGTGCTGAGCTTCGCCATCATCATGTTGAATACTTCATTGCATAATCCAAGCGTTAAAGATAAGCCCAGCGTAGATCAATTTATTTCGATGAATCGAGGAATTAACAACGGTGGTGATTTGCCGCGGGAACTGCTTGTGGTAAGTACACTTTCGGGAAAGACTAGAGATGTTTTTCATTTGATGAAACACATGTTGACACAATTATCTAATAATTATTAATTCTTTATTACGCATTGAATGTCAAGAAAGGTAAAATGATATTTGTGTCGAATTTGGTTGTTAAATGGAGAGAGAAAGCTATTATATTTTTTCTAAGATATATTTTTTCTCGTCTTTCAGTTGAGAATTTTCTTAACACACATTTGTGCTTAATCAAATATATTTCTATCTATTTACAGAGTTTATACGAGAGTATAAAAACTGAGCCTTTCAAAATACCAGAAGACGATGGCAACGATTTGATGCACACCTTCTTCAATCCTGATAAAGAAGGCTGGTTGTGGAAACAAGGTAATGACTACTTATATTCGACATGATTTTTCTAGTTTGACTGCATTCCGACGGTTTTCGTTTTATCTTCGGACGCTCGTGTAAAGACCTGAAATAAAATTTGCGTGTTATGCAGATTTGTGTGTGTATGTATGTGTGTACGCGCGCACGCGCGTGTGTATGTGTATTATATATACAGGGTGTATTATATATACAGGTGTCCCATTTTAAATAATGCATTTCTCGAAAACTATGGTAGATACGGAAAAATATTTTAAACAAAAGTTGTATGATTCGGAGGAGGGGGGGGGGGATAAGAAGGTATCATTGATTTGACCTTGGGGAGCGTTGTCAAGACCAGATCACGTCGATTTTTTAAATGGAGCTCCCTATTTTTCATTACATATTCTTGTAGCTTATCTCGAGAGCTTTGCAGAACACTATAATAAAGTTATTTTTCATTGAGTACTTTTCGAATTATAAGACTCGAAAGTTAGCCGGCATTAGCATTACGCAAGATGTCTGACCGACGACTAAAACCGCTTGTTCAGGATCATGTCCTGAATAATATTAGGTGTACAAATAAGTTTCCGCCGTTTTTTATCAAAAATTAAGCACTTATCGTGAAAATACGTACATAATGTTTTATTGATGTAAGTCAAAATGTAAGTGCAAGTTCTTTTTGCGTTTGGCACGAATCTTCATTCAATAATGCTTCCAATTCCGCGTCTTCATACACTTTCGGCCTTCCGCTATGTTCTTTGTCTTCGACTTTGTCTTTAAATTCACCGTTCTTAAATTTTTGAAACCATTCACGACAACTTCTCTCACTTAAGGCAGCCTCACCATATGCTTCTACAAACAATCGATGAGCCTCAGCTGCAGATTTCTTCAAATTAAAGAAGTAAATCAAAAGTTCCCGCAAATGACGCTTATTCGGCTCAAAACTCGGCATTTTCGCACAAAAAAAAATATATGATGCTGATACAAAATCGCTAGTATTTCAAGGTTCTGTTGTTGACAGATGTCCTTACGATATAATGTTTTACATTAGACAATTTTAACCATAGCTTACTAGTGGCACCGTCTTTTGTTAAACGGCGGGAACTTATTTGTACACCTATTATTTGTCAAGATCAAAGCCATTGGAATTTGGAAGCTGTACTTTTTTACTTTTATTTTAACGTAAAAATGAATTTTTAGTGCAAAAATGAAAATAAGATTAAGGAATAATTTCCAGTGGCCTTCAAGAGGTTTTAGCCGTCGATCGGACACCTTGTGTAATGCTAATACCGGCGGTACTGTAACTTTCAAGCCCTATAATTCGAAAAGTACGTAATGAAAAATAACTTTATTACAGTGTTTTGAAAAGCTCTTGACACCAGCTATTAGATTCTGCCATCAAAAATAGGTTCCATTAAAAAAAATCAATGTGACCTTGGCGCCACCCAAGGTCAAATCAATAGTACCTTCTTATGTCCCCTTCCGAACCATACAACTTTTGTTTTTAACATGTTTCCGTATCTACCATAGTTTTCAAGAAATCTTAATTATTGTAAAATGGGGCACCTTGTATATATTGAGTCATCTAAAAATCCGCGGTTTTTTGTCACTAGATGGTGTTGATGGTCAACCCATCTAATGACAAAAAACCGCGGATACTTTTTAGATGACCCATATATATATATTGTGTGTGCGTGCGTGCGTGTGTATACACATACATTTCGTTTCACGAAAGTTTTTGACATAATAAGAAAAAAGATAAAGCTCGATATTTCGTAGAATATTCTTCAATTTTTGTCACATTCATTAAAAGAACGTTTATTCTTACATTGTATCACTTTGTCCTTCTGCTGCCCTGATGGAGACAGCAGGTAAATAACATCTCTATGAAAATTATAGGTTCTTAATTCTATATATTTCGTATTTTATTGTTACAGGCGGACGTTACAAGAGTTGGAAGAGGCGATGGTTCATATTGAACGATAATTGTTTATACTATTTCGAGTATACAACAGACAAGGAACCACGCGGTATCATTCCGCTAGAGAATATTCAAGTTCGAGAGATTCAAGACCGGCACAAACCACACTGTTTCGAATTGTATGCTGCTGGTTCCGAGTTTATAAAAGCATGCAAGACTGATAGCGAAGGAAAAGTCGTCGAAGGTACGATTGCTTAAAATTTAATTTAATTTAATCAATTAACATAAAAGGATCCAACACATTATACTTATATATTAATCCAATATTTGTTTACAATTATTTATAATTAGGGAAGCATACGGTGTACCGAATGTCTGCAGCTACTGATGAAGAAAAAGATGAATGGATCAAATGCGTGCGGTAAGTTGAAATGACAAATAAATTATTAGGGCAAGTTAATAAGTTTTTAGAAAATCTATCAGAGGGCACTCGCAGTGTCATGTCACATTACTTTTTGACAAGCATCTTTCAGTTGATTACTATCAAATTTTGAGTGGAATTCATCGCGAATTTCATTCTGTAGACGATTAAAGCGAACAATCTGTATTTTTTACAAAATGGAACAAAACGAGTTTCGTGCAGCGATCAAACATCTACATATGAAAGGTTTAACGCCGAAAGAAATCAAAGTCGAGTTGGATAATGTTCGTAGCACATTTGCACCAGCGACTGTATACAATTGAGTGAATGAATTTAAACGTAGTCGTACATCCACATGTGATGTACCTCGTTCGGGACGTCCAATTGAGGACTGCTACGCCAGAAATCATCGATAAAGTCCACGATATTGTTTTGACTGATCGACGAGTGCGCAAGCTTGTTGAGGCCACAAGCATATCACATGGTACAGTGATTTCAATTTTGCACGAACAATTGGATATGAAAAAGCTATCGGCAAGATGAGTGCCGCGTTTGCTCACTGTGGACCATAAACGCGACCGTGTGACGATTTCAAAACAATGTTTGGAGATGTTTCAACATAATCCAGATGAATTTCTTCGTTTCTTCTTCGATTCATTATTGTGGACGAAACATGGATCCATTATTTCATACCCGAGACGAAGAAACAGTCAAAACAATGAACTTCACCGAGTGAACCAGCTTCGAAGAAGGCGAAGACCGTGAAATCGGCGGGAAAGGTGATGGCCACAGTTTTTTGGGATGCACGCGGTATAATTCATATTGATTACCTTCCGTCGAAGCAAACGATCAATGGCGATCAGTGACGCAGCCTTATTGGAGGCTGTTTCAAACACCGTTTCAACAACATTTTAAAGGAAAAAACGTCCCTATTTAGCGAAGAAGAAAGTGCTCTTCCATCAAGACAATGCACGGATTCACAACGTGCCTGGCACCGATGGCCAAATTCAACTAATTCCGCTACGAATTGCTTCCCCATCCAGCATATTCGCCAGATTTAGCCCCCTGCGACTATTTCTTGTTTCCAAACCTGAAGAAGTAGTTCAGAGGAAAGAGATTCACCACCAGAGAGCAGCTCATTGTCGAAACAGAGGCTTATTTTGAAGGGTTGGACAAATCATATTATTCGAACGGCTTGAAAAAGTTGGAGAATCGTTGGATCAAGTATATCGAGCTGAAAGGAGACTATGTTGAGAAATAAAAATGAATCGATCAAAAAAAATGTGTTTTACTAAAAACTTATTGACTTGCCCTCGTATAATTTTACATACTTATATTTTATTGTTGCATTCTTTCACAGTAAAGTATAAAGTAAAATTGTGTAAAAATTATTCAAACATTATTATTCATTTCCAGACAAAGTATATCGCACAATCCTTTCTACGATATGCTGGCAGCACGAAAGAAGAAGGCACAAAAAACAAATGTACATTCGAAGAGTTAAATGCTGCCACGAGCCGAGTTTCGAGAGAAATTCGGCGGATGAGAAGACTGTTTATTCGCGATCCACGTACGGTATCGTTGAATATAATCAAATTATTGATAACGAAAATCCATCGAGAAAGAAAATGCCGAAAGTGTTATGGATTATGTTAGACAGTAGTTATCAGGCAATGGTGCCGTGATTATTAAACGCTCTGTGTTTGTACATATAGAACGAATTCTAATGCCATATAGCATTACTGTGGCATCGTAAATCGAATACGAAATATAGAATCGGCGCAATGTAAGATGGATATTTAGACGAACATTATATTAATGACAGTATGATTATACGTCACAACATGATGCGATGCTTGATTGATATCAGTGTAAAAAGAATCTTGCGCTAGAGAGGCTTAACTCTATTTCCATTAATTTAATGGATAAATTGCCTCTATATTCTTTCTGCAAAAGAGAATGATACAGATATGATTTTGCATATATTAGAAACCGAAATTTTGATTGTAAATCGAGTAAATGATAACTGTATCGTATTAACATCAAAGTAATATGTGAGCAAGGAAATATCGGCTTATTTCACTTCAAAATTGTTCTGATAAAAGCGCTGAAAATTAACGCTTTTAATACACTTATAATGTCACATCTGGCAATATATTATGTGAGAATAACTTGTGTAGGAAACTATAGTGGAGAAAACGGAACATTCTTATTTTTCGGCAGCTTTAAGACACCATTGATATTCTACGTTATTTCAGGAAGATAATATTCAAAATATTTTGTATAAAATACAAGTACTATCATCTTGTATCGTGCAAATGAAAGATAAGCCGTGATTTCCAATTATATATAAAAAAAGCATAAAGCCGAGGATAACTTCATGTGATAATTATTCGTATGTATTTATTTAAACAAATATGTACAAAATAAAACTAAATGATATGTTTTCTGAGCATGAGACAACATTATTTTGGATTAGTCATGCTTGTACAATTTATAAATATATCTATTTATCTATCTATCTATATATATATATATATTATAGTCTAAAAACGGACACAGACGCATATGAACTGCGTGCATTTTAGCATAAAAAATTCAGTGTAGTGATTAATATACGTAGAATACGGTCAAAGTCTCACTAAGTGCTTAGAAGCATTTGATTGACCAATTACAGGAAAGAATTTTACGAATTGATTAATCAAAGAATTCAAAACATTTGTGGTATTATGTTGACCGTGTTCATAGTAAACGTCTTGGTAAGATCTGGTGGGAACCTGCAACTCCATTAATCTTTACTTCTCTTCTTCCCCCTCCCACTCCCCCTAAAAAAGAGAAAAAAAATTAAGAGAAATTAATAGATTTTATACAAAATATATATATATATATATGTGTTGTATATATGGGTGTATATAAAATTTATGTTACGTTACATATAGCTCTCTTACATCATTCTCTAATAGGAATAATTTCATATGGAAATATCCGTGATTACATTATGTTTCATAATGGAAATTAAATTTGTAATTTCTTCGCGACTTTATATTATCTTTTTATCCTGTTGCATACACAGATGAAAAATTAGTGACAGAGAAGCAGGTGCCTTTGAGATCGTCAAGCTAGTCATAATAGCTGATCCGTCATATACGAAGGATTCGGAAAAAAAAATACTTCTTTGCTATATGCAAAGAAAGCCAAACATCGAAAACGCCTTATTATATGATACGTTAGATAGTGAACATTTCAAAAAATGTAAAACAAAGTAGGGCGTAAATTTTGTAATGTTGTTCCATTCTTGAAGAGACATAGATTCTATCTATCGCAATAGAACAATTTCTAATTGATAATGAATTTATGAAAAGGAAAACTTTTTATAACAGTACTGAAAATGTACGTAAAAATGATTTGTAGTTATTTGTTTTTTCCATATAGGGAACATTTTCAATAAGTCTGTTTAATATTTTACTGCAATGTACATTCACATGCCTGCCGATATAATCTCGAGATATATTCTCCAGATATATTTCTTTCATCTCTGCTTCCTAATAGCTGCGAAGACAATAATATTATGTTATCAAAAAGCTGATACACACAAATGATATAATACGTGATAAAAATGGAACAATGCAAAAATGGAACAATGCGTCTTTTTATATTGTTTATAATAAATTATGTCTTCACACGCGGTATTTATCGAATTGTGTTATAATTCTGTATTGTAATTTACTTTTTAAAGATAATTAAAATTGATTAATTATTTATGCTAGTACATAGATTTTTATAGATAGTAATTTACAGATAGTTTGATAAATTATTTTGTTTTTCTTTATTAATATGTTGTCGATAAGAATATTTTATAGGATTATATAAATGTATATATCATAGATTTATTGTTAAATAGGCTATCTCACATACTTTCTAAAGAACCGATATATATATATATATATATATATATATATATATATAGGTTGGAATTTTGATCTGATAAAATATGTTGCGATAAGTCTATGACATATACTATACGAACATTGTGTACGTACATACACATAAACACGCGTGCGTACGTGTGTGTCCAAATTATAAATTATAAACCTAGCTGTACAAAATAAAGTAAAATTAGTTAGTCTGTCCCCTTGTAATTAAACTTGTAATTTTCCTCTGTATATTTCGTTGTAAAGTACAAAGATGATATATGTAAAAGAACATTAGTAAATTTTATTAGTACTACTATGTATTAGCAAAATAATTGATCGAATTTAAGAAAGTGTATAAAGAATTGTATTTTATTAGCATAGAATTTGTACATTTTGTTGTATATTACTTAATAATTATCATTATATACATAATTGATCATATATTGTATTTAGCAAGCAAATGTGTGTATTAATTTAAATATAATTAATAAATTTGTTTCTAGCAAATATATATGTATATATATGTGTGTATGTGTATGTATATGTATGTTTCACACATATCGTTATGAATAAAAATCTTTTTTAAAAGCGAACATACACCTGCAATAACTTTCTCTGTGTGTAAATATATCTATATCTCGAATTCAAATTTCAGATTAAAGTTTCGATTCGATTTGGAGTAATCGATTGTCGTAACTCGATTCCTTTCGACTGTAGGCTAACTTTCGAGAACTCGAATCGAATTAAACGAAAAGAAATAAAGAATTGTCTCGGTTCAGATTTGACTTGGTACCCGCAAATTTCTAATTTTAGCAAAATGATCCATCTTGAGTCGCGTTCAGGAATGCACGCCGAGTGTCTCCAAGTATCATTCTATCCTTGTTATTCACTGAATGTTGAACAAGAATAAATTGATATCTCCTGGACTTGGCACTCGGTGTGTATTTCTGATATTTCCGAACGACGCAGCCTTGGTAGAAACCAGAAACGTTTAACCAAAGAATTAATTTGCAATTTGTGTATGCAATATATGTGTTATGAAGAATCTATATCTCAAAATTTATTTCTTTTAGGTTTCGTCAACTTTGAACGATTCATTTAATTTTTCTGTTTTTTATACATATATTAATTTCATAAGAGCATGCATTTATAGAGAACTGCAACACCATTTTTCCAAGTGCGTGCGTGCGTGTGTGAGTGTGTAAAGGCATGCATGTACAGAACAAACAAAAATCATTTATTTTCTTCTCAAAGAACTCTAAAAGTTTTTTCAGAATTTTTTATCAATTTTTTAGTACTGCATTTTCTTATTTTTACCAACATGAGAAAATACGGTATTAAAAAATTCTGAAAAAATTCTCAGAACTTTATGAGAAGAAAATAAATAATTTTTGTCTCTTGCAACTTTTCTATAAAGTTGACAGTATTTGAATAAAAAATTATACAAGACCAATATTTGGCAATTTTTAGTAATTAATATCTTGTTAACTATTGCGAAAATTGCAAAATGGTAGAGGACTTTTCGACTCCGTTCGATTCACTCTACCTGCTCATGATGGGTGACGAAATATATTAAAATCACCCTGTATATATATATATATATATATATATACAGGGTGATTTTAATATATTTCGTCACCCATCATGAGCAGGTAGAGTGAATCGAACGGAGTCGAAAAGTCATCTACCATTTTGCAATTTTCGCA